TTTCATCCATGCAAGCCTGACATTATTGTTTTCTTTATCTCCAGACATATGCTAATGATTATGTAAATTATATGCAAATTAGCCGCCACTCTGAGACATTTTTCTGGGGAGAACACTGTAGTTCTTAATTGAAATGTGCATTGCTAACAACGGAGCTATCTCAGCCGAAAGGCTGCTTGTTTTTATATAAAATGAAAGTAAAATCTGACTTATTTATTGAGTGATCGATCGCTTTGGTAAAAAAATACAGACCCGCCATGATAATTGTGACATATTAGTTGACCGGCATGTGTTCTTTGACCCGATGGGTCAAGAATGCCATTAATCAATCAAAATGCCATGCCGGTAGAATCCAAAGATTTCTGAATGATAGTGATCATAAAAATTATGTTGCAGAAGTAAAGCGAAGTTGTAGCACAATGTGTTAGCATAGATTTCAGTTGAAAACTGCATGATGGGTTTTGAAAGAGGTGATTAGCAATTTTTAAAAGGTAAAATAGGTCTTGAAAGAAGAGTTTTTACATGATTCGTGATAACCAAAACCAACCAATTTTACCAAATCACGCAATAAACACGTTTTTTTCTTTCTTGAGTAGCGTAAACTGACCGTGAACTCCGCTTTGACCATGTTATATCGAGGTGGAATTGATTTTGAAAGAATTTTAGCTTTCAATCTAAAGACTGTCTATCGCAGAAAGTATTTACTTACAAACAAAGAGGTGCTAATTTCACAAAATTGACTAGCCACTACGTATCGTGCGACTAGGTCTATTGTTTACAAATTGTAATCCATGACTGGCAGGATGCGTGTCGGTCGGTACGTACGTAATAACAATCGGACAATAGTTTCCATGGTGGTCACTAATTTTGAGTGCCGGTCGGGGCCGACCAGTGTGACGAACAAACCTTTTGCTCATCTGATATTGGCAATGTCAAATATGAAATCAAGCGCCGAGGTCAGAACACATAGCACCGAGGTACCAAGTAAAGCGCCAAGATTCACAAATATAGCACCACGCAGCGCAGCGCTAAAAAGCCCTGGGTAGAACCCTGCATGCATCTACATCTACTCGTAATAATATCAAATGATTCAACTTTAACACATGTAATTTTTGGCTTATACTTGTGAATTTCAATGTTCTGTGATTGTTTTGTTTTTAGACCATATTATTGAAACGTTTGCTGTTACCTCATATATTTGTGAGCAAAATAATTGTTATAATGAAATGTTAGAAAAAAACTAATAAGTACTGATTTGTTTCTTGTTATATTTTGTTTCGAATGATTGGAAATGATAGTTTGTATGTTTCCATTATTTCCTAGTTGGAAGATTTGAATGCCAAGAAAACAATTCTAATACAGCCAGCTGTTGAGGCAACAAGAACAAGCACGCCTGTTTTGACAATCAGAGCTGCTACTCCAGGCATGATTACTGAAGGTGAGTAAAATCCTTAAAGTTCACATATCCTGTTTTTTTACTGGGAATGGTGGCAATTTACTTTCAGTGAACATTTTTCAATTATTTTCTCCAACCCCTGGCAATGTAAGCAGTTATTTAAAGTAAAAAATGACAACATGCAAATCTTGTGGTATAACATTAGATTTTATTGATTCTTGTATGGCAAAAATTAATTATTGTTTCCTGTGACTGAATTATTTATACAAAAATATTTTTGAGTGGTTGGTTAAGGTTGTCAGTGGAGGTAATTTTCAAAACACAAAATTGTGAAACAAAAGTCAGAAAGCCTTAAAGATAGAATTGGTTTTATTTCTTATGAAGGTAATAACATATAAATGTGGTTGAATTACTAAAGAAAAATAGAAAACAAAAAAAAAAGGCGTTCCAACTAAGAGAATTCAAACTAATAGATTATTTTGTCTATAGCTATCTGTAGCCATTTATGCAAAAGATGTGCAGGTAATCTCTGGGTCTGTGAACTGTAATGTATTCCTGTATCTAACTAGTCAAACAATGTTGAGGTATTCACTGGGACTCTCACCTGCAATATATTTCTGTGTCTAATTAGGCAAACAATGTTGAGGTATTCACTAGGACTCTCACCTGTAATGTATTACTGTAACAAACTAGGCAAACAATGTTGAGGTATTCACTGGGACTCTCTCCTGTAATATATTTCTGTGTCTAATTAGGCAAACAATGTTGAGGTATTCACTAGGACTCTCACCTGTAATGTATTACTGTAACAAACTAGGCAAACAATGTTGAGGTATTCACTGGGACTCTCACCTGCAATATATTTCTGTGTCTAATTAGGCAAACAATGTTGAGGTATTAACTGGGACTCTCTCCTGTAATATATTTCTGTGTCTAATTGGGCAAACAATGTTGAGGTATTAACTGGGACTCTCTCCTGTAATATATTTCTGTGTCTAATTAGGCAAACAATGTTGAGGTATTTACTGGGACTCTCTCCTGTAATATATTTCTGTGTCTAATTGGGCAAACAATGTTGAGGTATTTCCTAGGACTATCACCTGTAATGTATTACAGTAACTAACTAGTTACACAATGTAGAGGTAAACACTAGGACTATCACCTGTAATGTATTACTGTAACTAACTAGGTACACAATGTAGAGGTAAACACTAGGACTATCACATGTAATGTGTTACTATCTAGGCACACAATGTAATGTTCTCCCCAGACTCCATTTCGAGCATCACAGCTAATTTACATAACAATGGGTATAATTGGCATACGAGTGATTGTCCGTCGTCATCCGTGTCAATGTTTTACTTTTTTTGACTTCTTGAAAACTGCAAGTTCAGTTGCTTTGATATTATACAGATAGGTGCCTCAGGTGGACATATATTTGTTTATTTCATGATGATATCTTCAATTCTTAAATTGAAATGTGTATTGCTAACAGCGAAGCTATCTCAGCCAAGAGGCTGCTTGTTTTAATTCTGATACATTTTTTCTTTTTGTACAGTGAATGCTGTCAAGTCTTCTTTGGTACATACAGTGCCATCACCACAAGCAGCGATAATAACTCAGATTCCAGCATCTGTACAAAACCTGGCACAGACGGTGAATACTGTAAAGTCTCCTATGTTACATACAGTGCAATCACCACATGCTGCGACTACACCAACGCCAACGCCAATTCCAGTTTCTGTACAAAACCTGGCACAGACGGTGAATCCTGTGAAGTCTCCTATGTTACATACAGTGCAATCACCACAAGCAGCGATGGCAACTACTCAGATCCCAGTCTCTGTACAAAACCTGGCACAGACAGTGAATCCTGTGAAGTCTCCTATGTTACATACAGTGCAATCACCACAAGCAGCGATGGCAACTACTCAGATCCCAGTCTCTGTACAAAACCTGGCACAGACAGTGAATCCTGTGAAGTCTCCTATGTTACATACAGTGCAATCACCACAAGCAGCGATGGCAACTACTCAGATCCCAGTCTCTGTACAAAACCTGGCACAGACAGTGAATCCTGTGAAGTCTCCTATGTTACATACAGTGCAATCACCACAAGCAGCGATGGCAACTACTCAGATCCCAGTCTCTGTACAAAACCTGGCACAGACAGTGAATCCTGTGAAGTCTCCTATGTTACATACAGTGCAATCATCACAAGCAGCGATGGCAACTACTCATATCCCAGTCTCTGTTAAGAATCTGACACAGACATCACTGCAGGCTATTTCTCAAGTCGTAACTGGAAGTACCACTTGTATTCCAACTTTAGCATCAATATCTAATAGTATACAGGGAAAGCCACAATCACCAATGTTTTCACAGGCTTCAATACAGAGTATACTACGAGCAACTTCACAAAATATAGCTCCTGTGCAAAGTATTGCTACTATGGGGAATTCAATGACTACAGGAACTATTACAGTCCCTGCCACTGTAATGACAGCTACGATTACCCTACCAAGACAGTTACACATTCAACCTCATACTGCTATGACATTACAGCCACATCAAATTGGGCAACCGATTGTTACAATAGCTGGACATCAACATCGCCATGCTATCTTTACAACAAATCAAAGAGCCACTCTGATTACGCAACCGCAAGCCATTGTACAAGCTGGTTCAACGGGAGCACCAACACAAATTCTTGCTCAAGTTGGAGTACCTCGGCAGCAAAGACAAATACCACCAAATATCACTGTAGCTCACCCAGCATTGCAGTCTGGACATATTTTACAAAAAGCTGTTGTTCAGGCAGCAGCAAACACTCCGAACCAGGTGGTTCAAGCTAGTTTAGCTCAGTCACAACTAATGAAAACTGCTGTTGGGGGAGCACAACAGATAACACTTCAAAAAGCAATACCTCCACGCCTCCTGCAAGCAAGCACAGTGCAACAAATGATTCAGACAAGTGCTTCACAAAAAACAATTATGCCATCAACTGTTCTGCCGCAAACTATAGTGAAATCCCCACAGCAGCTTGGGCCACCTACTTTACTACCAGCAACAAGTACCTCGATGGCTTCACCTGTTATACAAACAACGATTGTGCACCAACCTAGTGGAGTACAGACTCAAATAATTCAGCAACCGGGAGCTGCAGCTGCAGCAGCAGTAGCTGCACATGCAGCACAGCAAGGAATGCAGGCTTCTAGACAATTACAGCAGCAAATAGTCAGTACAGTTACTCCTACATCACATTTGTTAACAAAACCAGTGTTTACACAGGCAGGTGCTCATCCTCTTGTTCATCAGGCTGTTCTTAGAGCAGGAACTCCATTAAATTCAACCCACATGGTAACTCTCGGACAACAGGTACACTTGCAACCAATCGCGCAAACAACTTTTGTCAAACAACCGTCCCTTCCCAAATTAACCCAAATTCAACCTGCAACAATACAGCTACAGGCAACCCAACATCCTCAACTAGCACAAATACAGTTACCAAATCAACAAGTCCAGGTACAACAAACTTCTCCACAACCCCAGTTACATTTACAGCAATCTACACAGTTGCCATTTCAACAATTTCAGCAAGTACCATTACAACAAACACAGATGGTAGCACAGCAACAACCACAGCAGCCAGTGAAGTCTCATGATACGGCCATAAAACCAGAGTCTGTTCCTGAAACTGTAGATGAACCTGAAGAAGAATTTCTTCTTCTAGAAGAAGAGGAAGAAAGGGAGCCTATCTCGGCAATCGATTTGGCAATCATGAAAAATTTACTGTACCCTCAAGCACCAATGGAGAAGAAGAAGAAAATAGAATCTGAAAACAAGCCACAAAATGAAGAAACTGAACATGGTAATAATATCATATACTTTGTATATGCCAGCTAGATATTTTATAAATTTATAGTATTTAAAAGGAATAAGTTAAAGCGAGAGGGTCGTCCCCTGGCACGCGTGAAAATTGAGTCCCAAGCGACGATAACAACACACGCTAAAAGTGTAAAGGCTCATGGGTAGACGCCTGTTTGTAAACAATGACACACTATGGCCATCTGATGCAGGTGCAGGTGACGACTCCCCTACTTTAAATGAATGTCGCAGACTGAATAGTGCTACAAATTTTCATGATCTGACAAAAAAATTTTCTTGCAAATTTAAATGGTTTTCAATGCGTATGCATGTTTTTTTATGTAGCTGATGCACTCACTGAGGAGTCACCAGAATTTACTTGGGAAGAATATCTAGAAGTAACTGGTGCCATGTCTTCACCACATTCTGCTTTTAAACATGTGAGTATTGTGTTACAATGACTTGTATCTTTGGTAAGGTATTGATGTGCAGACTATAGAGGAGATTATGCATGTAATATATTTAGACATTTGTTTATGGCTAGGATTGTTGCAAAACTCTAAGAGCAATCACCCATGTCAGCTGATGTCAACCTATAAGAGTGTCATTTATCACATGCAATTTCCAGAGCCTGAAAATATGCAGAAAGTTTTGTTGAAATAATACTAAATATGAATATATCATTGCACATACATGTAGTATGATAATTTTGTTGACATCATTTTTTTCCATTTCATGTTCTCTGTGGGCGTTTTTGTTCATTCGTATTAGCTCCATTTGTTAGGTTTTATTGTGTATAAATCTAATATTATTTTAAGTACATACTAAATCAAACCGATCTTTGTCATCTTGCTGTCCATATATACACATACAAAATGTAGTTTGTGTTCCTGTATTCAGGTTGAACATAGTTTGGAAAGTCCCTTTGTGGCTGGGATGAAACTAGAAGTGGTGAATAGAAATATTCAAGCTGGCCAAACAAAAACATTTTGGGTTGCGACTGTGATTGCTACATGTGGGCAGCTATTACTTCTGAGATACGATGGTTATGAAGAAGCAAGACATTCTGATTTTTGGTGTGATATTACATCAGGTGATCTACATCCTATCGGCTGGTGTGCTCAGAACAGTCAACAACTTTCACCTCCTGAAGGTAAGTTTGAATATCCTTTGTGTGATAACATAAATGTCAAAAAGCAAAATGTAAGTTGAGCAAAATCTCTCTAACTTGTTTAACTTGGTGCAAATGTACTGTACATTTTACTTGCATGTTTGAAAGACTTACTTGTACCATACATTATTGTCAATACAATTAAATATCATAGAAAGCTTAGGGGTGATCTCATATTCAAACACCTCAGTCAAACCTGGGTTAACCTGGGTT